AAACTAGTAATGCACCTTTCTACTGGATCCTCAAGAATAACTTGGTCTCCAAAATGCACTATCTACAAAGAAGCACATAAGGAAAGCATAATGTCATTGTCCACATGAAGAAAAAAAAATATTCTGGAAATGCATTATTCACCAATATCGAAATTTTACATTTCACAAACACCAAAAATTTTAAAAACGAACAAGATTATCAGAATCAAACCATCATCAAACAACAAAATATTACATCACATTCAACTCAAACAAACAACCAAAACAAAAATTGAATTCAATTTTATAAACTACATCTAGTCTACCTCAAATTCACCGAAAGCCTTCAGCCTGTCCAGAATCTGCCCCATTGGTGCCGATAGCACCTAAAACATCAAACCAAGATTTCATCGGTTCATAATTAAAGCTCTGAAACAAGACCATAAATACTACATTGTTTGAACCATATGTTTTCCAGAAAATTCATCTATCAACGGTAAAATTTGAGCACAAAAGAATGGAAACCTCGCATCCGCATTTCACCTTCTTTTCCATGACGCAGACTCCAATGGTTATCTTTTTACAAACTCCTCCTCCATCTACCTCCATATCTCTGAACTTTAATCTCTATATAACCATGAATCTATCTCTAAAAAGCAGACAACAACAGAGATTACATAATAAATGCAGCTCTCGCTGCTCAATTTCAATATAGAACCACAACCACCGAGCTCGTCAGTTGCTCCGCTCAGAACGACCACCACCGGCGGTGCATTAAAATAAAAAAATAAAAAAAAAACAGAGCCAAACAGGTCTCACTGAAACATTCAGAAAAATACAAGGGAAACTACATGTACGTTTACGAATCTATGTACATACAGCGTATACGAGTCCAAAAACGAATGGCGGAGAAAGCCCTGGTCACGGGACGAAGAAGCGACGAGGACTGAGTCACGCGAAACTGTTGGGGAGTTGTTTGGGGATGAAGATTTTGGACACCAGGATATGCACAAGATACTTTTCTTTAAGAATGGGACGTGTCAATATACCGACATTGCGGATATATATATTTTTAAAAATTTGTTTCGGATTTGGAATAAAAGAAAAAAAAATTATTATGGATGCTCTCGTGCTCTGTTTTATTTAATTTTTTTATTAATCTGATTATTATATTAAATTTTAATTAATTTAAAATTAAAATAAATCAGACTTTATTAAAAAATTTCTCTCAATATTTTTTTTTTATTTATAAAAATCAAATTCAACATCTTATTTAAAAAAATTAAATTCCACTACTCACTGCAGATTATTGGTCGGTTTTTAAACTCTGCCGAGCCACGTACCGACGAGTGGGTGGTTTAGCTTACACTGCCATCAAACAGTAATGAAAGTTGACTTGGAAGCATTATTAGCTTGAAAAATGGATTATAATCAGTGAAGTTAATATTGTACCGTATTAATCGGTATAGGCGGTATGTATCAATTTTAATATTTGACTGAAATGATACAATGTCAATTTTTATTTTGGTCAAATTTCAAGCGTTTCGATCAAAATCCAGTATATTGATCAGAATTTCGATATACCAGCCGGTTCATCAAAATTCCGGCCAGTACGCACTGCAAACTAAAAAAAAAGAAGGATTCCCCTAGTCCAAAACCACGTCGTTTTGGGCTAAGGCTTTTCATAACCTGCAACTGTATAGCTCAATTCAAATTTAAAAAGGTAAATTTTATTTTTTATCCTCAACTTTAATGTTATTATAATTTTTATTTTTTAACTTTTTTATGTACTTTTTTAATCCATTTTTCATTTTTTTTTGTCTTTTATCAATTATTTTGTTAAATTTATCTAAATATACATATTTTTAATCCCTTAATTTAAAGTGGATGGACAAAAAATATACATATATTAAAAATTGTGAGACTAAAAATGATTATTTTAAACTTATTTTTAATTTATAAGAATATCATAGTTTTAAATATTAGTATCTTTTATCTTATTTTAAAATTTGATATTTAATTTATAAAAATATATATTTATAGCGATAAATCCGAAACGGTACACGAAAAATTTCGGTATTCGATACGTACCGTTCTAGTAGCAAAATCGATACACATACCGGTACAGTATTGACTACTTTGATTATAATAATTGTTTTGATGAGTTGATCTCGTGTCCAGGTCCGGCTGATTTAGTTTGGATTTAATTAAAATGTGTGAATAGAATAGTTGGGGGTTGCGGGATGAAGATATTGTTCAGGACAGATGAAAAGGAGGACGAGGAATTGTAGGGCCTCGGATGAGTGGTTATTGGACCACTGAAGACTTGGCTCGAAACCCACCCATAAGAAAGGGAGAAATGCACTTCAAGTTAATTGGGTGTAAGTTGATTCGAAGGATCAAATATAAAAATTTATTATATATATTATTTTGTTATGAATAATGATATAGGGGACGATTTTTGTGAGACGAAATTGGGGGACCATTGACGTGGCTTGCCACGTAGACAAACACACAGCAATTGCCTCGTCTCGTCTCTTGAATTCCTTCTGAATCATCGCCTCGTCTTCGAACCCACATTCAACAGACCACATTCAACAGATCTTGAATTCCTTCTAAATCAAAGAGGAGAAACAACCAAGTCGAAGAGTAGTACTCAAAAGTGCTTTTTGCGGGCAAACGAGGGAGCCTCTCGGTGGAGTTGAACCAGTTCATGATGAGTTCCGAGAACGAGGGGTGCATCTTGAAGGTGAAGATGCGGCCATGGCTGAGCTTGAAACTCAAAACCCAAATGGGAAACAAGAACACGATTGCTTTCAGGCTAAACCCCATTTCTATCTCCACATTTTAGGAAATTCCAGAAAGTTCTACATTAGAAAGTTGAAACCTTTAGCGAGATTGAATGTGGGTTCGAAAAGGAAGCGATGATTTAGAAGGAATTCAAGATCTGTTGAATGTGGGTTCGAAGACGAGGTGATGATTCAGAAGGAATTCAAGAGACGAGACGAGGCAATTGCTGTGTGTTTGTCTACGTGGCAAGCCACGTCAATGGTCCCCCAATTTCGTCTTACAAAAATCGTCCCCTATATCATTATTCTTTTGTTATAGAATGTGTAGTTTATATATAACAAACTTTATATTATTTTTTTTAGTATAATTATAAAATAGTAGTTATGAATGAAGACAGCATATGAAAAACAGTTGTAGATTGAAATACAACATTTATCCTAAATAAAAAGCTTTCTCATTCATTTCTTTCTTTTAGTAATTAAGTTAAATATCTTGGAACTTTCATGCACCAGAATATGCAGAAGATACTTTTCTTTAAGAAAGAGGATTTGTAAATATGCTGACATTGCGGATCTAATTTTCTTACTCTAATTTGTTTTGGATTTGTTATAAAGGGAAAAAAAATATGTATTCGATCATCTTATGCTGGTTTTTATTTTCTTTTGAAGTAAGCAATTACGGTAATGGAAAGAGGAAAAGGTCGAGCCACGTACAGAGGACTAGGCAGTTTGTCTTACACCGTTATCGTATCACGAAAGCTGAGTTCGATGGCTTTCTTATTTTTAAAAAATAATTTTTTAAATGTATTAAGAATATAATTATTATATTTTTTATATTAATTAATATTAAAAATTGAATTGAACTTTCACCTTTAAATGATTCACCTCAAACCAAATCTTAAAAATATTTAAATTAATTGGTCGAGATTTCAAATTTCATTAATACTTTGAAAAATCTCTATCCTTAAATTATAATCTATTCAAAAAAATTAATACTAAAAATTATAAAAATTATCATTAAATTTATTATTAATAAT